AAATCACAATAAAGTGGATATCTTCGATGTATTTTAACACTATCACAATAATTTTAAATGTAAAAACACTGCACTAAAATGAAAAATAATGCTGTAAATCGCAAGGATAATTTTGCTTTGACGTGTCATTTTTCACGCCTTATAGTTTACAGTTTTGTCAAGTGTGACGCTGTCTGTGCGAAACGCAGACTTGGCTCGCGAGCCAGCAGGAGCCTTAAATAATTTCAAATTATTGTCAATTTCATGGTAAAATTCTTTAACGATTTTTAAAAATCGTTCATGTAAGAGAGGAAAAACATATATTAAGTAGTGATAAAAGAAAAAATGATTGGGAATAATTTTAGATCATTGTTTACTTTTCTGGAAAAAAATTTCTTTTCGCGGAATAGAAAAGCCGAGAGAAAAGCTAAATTTTTTGTCACATTTAGATATAATTTTGAATTATTGTAATCTCTGTAAAATTCTCTAACAAATTTAAAAAGTGGTAAGATTACTACCTACGATTATTCGTGATTTTTTTCTAACGATAACTTGTTTTCTTCTGCATTTCGCGATTCGTTCATATCAACCTTTGCGTTGCTCTTTTCGCGCAATCTTCCATCTATGGAGATCATTGTTGTAAGACGGGGTGTGCCACACCTCCGTCTTACCTTCAGAAGGTTAACAGGCTTGTGTGCACAACTCTTAAACAGTCGCCTAGACTAATTGTAAGTAAAACTTACTATGTCATCAAATTTCAACAATGAAAAAATTATTAAACATAATTTAAACATTTTTTAAATTAAAAATAAAATGTTTAAATTATATGTAAATAATGATAAGAGCGTAAAAATGATAAAATTAAAAAAGATGGAAGAAATAGGTAAGAATTATTTTATATTTATATCGGTCTGTAAATTAGCAATTTCAGAGATTCACGAATATAAAATTCCTGAGAGCCGAAGAAGGATCTCATTTTGAGGTCCTTCAGGCTCATTAACCCTCAAAGACGTCGCGCTTGTAAGTCATCGCAACGATGCCGCTTTCCTTTCGCGATTGAGGGATCGATCATGCGGTCAATTCGCCACGCGCGGTTGATTAGAAGCGGGATTAGGGCGGGCCGCAATCTAATTCGACGAGATTGGTGAAAGCCGCAGCGGTGATGCTGCGACGGCCGCGGCGGTGACTTTAAACATCCCTTATAAGGTCATTCTCATTATTGCGATCTTTAAGTACTCTAGATGTAATGAGGCGCTGCCGTAATAACGCCCTTATATCGAGATGCCCTACAAACCGAGCGAGCCAGGCCCCCTTTTCTATACACTTCCAGTGTGCGACCTAGTTTACTTGGTTCTTTAATTAAGTTATTTACTTCGAAGTCCAGGAAGAAATTTAATTTGTCCAGGAATTAAAAATAATATAAACGAATTCTAGAGTGTCCGTCATTTGGTTCCGAAGGAAACAATATATAGCTTCCAAATTTTGTAATTTCAAATATCATGTAGTATATAGAGATGAAGAAACTTTTACTTCTAGCTTTTAAATATATTTTATATAAACAGCAGTTAAAAATAATATAGAATGGAATCGCAGAGTTTCTGACTTTAAAGATAAAATTTTACAATTTATAATTTATTTATTAATTTCCGGAAAAAAAACTTTACAAGTCTTTATCTTCTCCTTTCGAAATCTTTCCTGCTTTCAATTAGAATAGTAAAACACGCATGAGGACAAGATACGATCTCTCTCGACACGGTAAAATAATCGAAATTAGATGTCTAGTTGTAATTACGTTGGTCTGTTGATTGTCTGATTTAATTAAAGTGATAAACGTCTGTTAATCCTTCAGAGTTTTTCCTCCCTTCTCCTTTTGATGAATAGACTCTAATTGTATAATATAATATCATTTTTTCCTATTTTACTGCATATCGTCGTATAATTGTGGTCCATGCCTAAAAAATTGCAACATTGGTACACTATTTGTTAACAAATGATATTAATCGATCACAATACCTGACGATGTGCTTTCTAATTCGCCGCTTGCGTCGTCGATTGAGTATCAGTGTCAATAAAGCGAAAGAATAGTCTCGATTATGTTGTGCATACGTGACTAATTACGCAAATTGGACGAATCGGCGGTGATCGGCGAGGGAGGCGACCGTAACTGCGAAGTCACGCGAGACTTTTCAATTCTTTTTAGCGAATACCATGGATTTTTCCCTCGATATTCTTCAAATGCTTCAAATTTTTGTCCAAGCGAGTCTCACAACACATAAACTTGAATAAATCGCTCACGAAATTCCGCGATATTTTTAATTGAACGAAAACGGGCATGCATTATTTTTATATAACGTGACTCTCTCCAGAGAAAGATAATTTTAGAAAATCTGAAATTGAAATCAGGTCGTTGATAAGACTCGAATGCGTCGCGTCTTTTAATCCGCCTCTCGTGAACCGCCTCACTTTTACGCAGCGGCCGTGTAATTTAATTATCCCGATAACGAATCGTCGACGGAGCGGCGAATAAAAATTATCGCCATATTATAAGTGAGGTGAATTTATCGCCACTTGCCGATACGATGTGACCACGGCCACGACGAGAGGTCGCGTGCATGCGCATACGCGATGAGCACGCACGTAATGCAATATCGACGCAACGTGTAATTATTCAGGCGAACCTCTCGCGATATGGCCTCGCGCCCGAGGCGGTCCTTCGGAAACTCTAATTGACTTCCATGACGTTGCTACGGGGTCGCGGGCCCCCGGAAAATATAGCACGCGTCTACAGGGTGCTCGCAAGGATTGCTTGCTCGCACGTCTCTCGGGCGTCGCACTCGCCGAAATGAGTATATTGTATTGTGATTAATATGCTATCGCAGTTTTTACGATCGTAGCCGAAAGAATCGCGTCAATTGCGTTATTAGGGTCAGTGGCCCCCAGTTAATTAACCTTAATTACTTCACTGATTATTTATTTCTTTTTTATCGAAGACCCAAGTTTAACGCTGATAACGACGGCAGTGAATATCATGATGTGTATTGGCTATCATTAAAGAGCAGTTTTAGCATTTACGGACATAACTCTTCACGGACGATTTTTTTTCAAAAACTTTCAATGATTCAGACTATTAATTTTTACGGAGCGCATAAATTGCTTTGTTAATGATTATCTTTGTTTTGTTAATATTTAATTATACTAAACTAATTTAATCGTCAGTTTCATTGATGTGAATCAACAGTAATTTTTACTCTAAATCTTCATATTTAATAATTTTATTAGTAAGTATATATAATCATTATTCAGAAGTTTTATCATTGTATTGTATTTTAAAATTGAAGTTGTATTGTACGACATATTTTTCCACAAAAAAGTTTGACTTTGAAGAGTTAGTGAACACTATCGAAACTCTGGAAAAACTATTTGTATTCATCTTGAAAATCTCAAAGGAAATAAAAAGACGGAATAAAATTGATGTCTGGTAAAAAGACTTACTTAATAAAACGATGAATTCTAGCGTTATTATTCAGACTTATGGTAAGTAGGGCACCCGCCTGAACAACAAAGTATTCGTATAATATTAATATTACAATATCAATAAAATAGTGTATATATAATTGTAATATATATACATCAACAATATTATAATATCATATTATCACACACGTAATATTATTATAACATTAAATTTAAGGTAAAAATGCTTTTGTGGAGGATTTTATTTATTTCGCGAATAAATTAGGCAAGAAAGGACTAAAGGAGCAAACGCGATTCTTACGGCAAACGATTACGGCGATACTGCGGCATTCGTAGCAAACGTTCGATAGAAAACGTTCAAAATGACCGAAAATAATCGTTGTCTCACGGTTGGTCCCTTTTTCAGCTGCGCTTTCGCGAGAGAAGAAAGTTAAAAAAAAAGGAGTACCAATGAGAAACCAGCACTTACGCATCTTGTTAAGTTCGCTTCGCTCTAAACCGCTCGTTGAGTATGTACCTAAATCACAGCTCATGCTACTAATTACTTATTAAAAGGTCTTCCTTTCGATACTCTGCACTTATCATTCTAAGTTACTGCCTAAATCTACTCTCTGTGTACACGGGGCGTTTCAAAACTACGAGATGTTTTTTTCGTTAATCCTTCGGCCGATTTGGAATTGATCTTTCTTTAACAAAAATGTTGAAGCATCTGCAATTTTTTAATCTTGTTAGTTAATTTTAAGTGAATTTTTTTTATCATAAAATTTTAATTTGCAGGTAAATTATAAAAGCATGCAATATTAAGAATTGGTATGATAAATAATGATTTTTTTCCAACATTTTTATTAAAGAAAAGTTCTTCTTCCGTTGTCGAAAAAGTTTTAAGAAGATCCGGTAGTTTTGGAACATCATGTACATAATTATACATAGGTATATAAAAAATTTATTTTAACATCTTTAACGTTAATATCTCGTGGCTATTAAATATAATAAATCGTCAATTAGCCTATAAACATTAGTCGTTCTGTCCTCATCGTTGTCGTCGCTGTTGTCATTGTATCTGTCATTATTGTCATTAATGGTAATTGAATGATCGTAGGAACAACAATTTCACGGATGTCATGTTAGTATAAGGGGAGTGATTAGCTCCTCTTAGCCGTCCATAATTAATTAATAATTAATACAAAAACCCGGCGACAGAATTGCCACCGTTAGGATAGATAATCTCGCAAAGTTCGATGTTCTTAATTAACTTTTTAATTAACAACTCTTCGGTCGCGTAGATTCGCCATGTAAAATTCAATCGGCGCGCTTCTCGTTAACATACAGGATGTCACAGAATATTTCCACAGAATATTTCGTATAAATCACAAATTATTTTTTGCAACGTAACAATTCAAATTCAACCTGATTTAGGGATCAATTAAGGGATAAATTAATTTTAAAACTAATTTAAGTAACTGTTTGAAATTTAATTAAAACAACTCGAAAAATTCGGTAAATTAGGTTGTAATAATTAAATACACTCAATTACGTCAATCTAAACACCAATTTAAGCAAATAAATAATTTAATCAGGTTATTACTAATTAAATATAATTGAAGTCCGACTTGAGTGACTTAAGTTAGATGTATTTCGAACTGTATAAAATAATTTCTCAAGAAATTAACTTTGCAAGAGTACATGAGTTTGTTTCTAGACACCCTGTACACGATACGGCTATCTAATGCGTTCGTCATGGTTCGCTCTTTCTCGCAAGCTCGCTCGCCTTTCCATCATGGAAAGAAAATCATATTCATATAAAAAAATGGAGAATAAGAAGAAAGCGGAGACCAGGTTCGGCCGCCATCTTTTCCCAGAAGAATAAAAAAGAAATCGTGGACGACGTGTATCTGCGCCTGACGTTGTGGCCGCGTCTGTGTTCTGCGAACTAACTGGGGGGACTGCAGGCAGTTCCCGTCGGGTCTACAGCGACCTGGGACCTGCTGGCGATGACGGGGGACGCGGAGGTCGCGTTAGCCTCCGCCGTCGGACTGGTGTTTCCGTTGTTTCCGCCGCTCCCGGAAGCGGTCTGCTGGATACTCGCAGGCTTCTGAGTCACGTGGGTCTGATAGTGCTTGGCTAGATGGGCCTTCTGCCGGAAGCTCTTGCCGCAGAGCGAGCAGGCAAACGGTTTCTCGCCGGTGTGCGTCCGGATGTGCACATTCACGCTGTACTTGTCTTTGAAGCCCTTGCTGCAGATACTGCAGTAATGCAGAGAGCGTTCCTTGCGTTGAACGCTACCGGGCGAGCCACCGGAACCGCTGGTTTGTTGCTGACTCGCGTTGCTAGCCTCCGTACCGGCGCTGCCGTTACTGGCACCATTGGCATTGTTGCTGTTGCGATTGGCGCGTCTGACGTACTTTTTCGGCGGCTTAGAAGTGACGCCTACTCGGCCGGAAGTCAGCTGCAGCTGACCCGACTGTTGTTGCTGTTGTTGCTGATCCACGTCGGTTCGTTGAGCTGATTGTTGTTGCAGAACATCCTGCTGAGCAGCCGTAACTACTGTCACAGTGCTCACCTGGCCCAGATCGGCCGGTAACGTGATAGTACCTAGACTCCCACTTGCTGGATCTAATGTATACATCACTGTAGTAGTCGCCGACACGTTACAAACCGGCTCGAGGCTGCAGTACGATTCCACCACTTCATTCGCGATGCTTTTAAGCTTCTCGTAATCGCCCGGTCGATAGGTCGTCTGGTCCAACTGCGAGAGCAGCAAATCCTCATCGGTGCAAGCCTGCATGGAGTCCTCCTGTTGCTGCTGCTGTTGCTGCTGCTGCTGTTGTTGTTGATCGGACACCAATAGACCCGCAGTTCCCGAAACCGGCATCGAGATGGTGGACGTCTGTGAGGACGGCGAAGACGAGGAAACCGACTGGGCTGGTCCGGTGTATAGTTTGCCCTGAAGAGCACTTCTCAGAAGACTTTCGGCGGAATCTCCGGCACCAACGGCGACCGCAGCCGCTGCTGCGGCTGCTACCTCTTGCAAATTCTGATCCGACAGTTTCCAGTCGTTATTGTTGTCGCCGGAACAGTTAGCCGAGGACACTCGCGCGCACAACTCTTTGCTTTCAACGAATCCGCTATCGTCGGTAGCGTATTGCGACGAGGGCACAGTAAAACCACGGCCATCCGATCCATGAAACCTTTCGTTGACACTCCTAGGCACCTCGCCGCTAGCTTGTTCGTGATCTTGTTCACCGGAGGACGGCTCCATGCTCAGAATGGCGTCTAGGTCGAGATTGGGTCGCAGAGACCAAGAGTCGCCGGACGCAGGCGCTGGACTTTTGCAACAATCCAACGCGTCCATCGAGTTTGCCTCGTTGTTCAGCACCGTCAGAGTATAGATGGCACCATCAGTGTTCTGTCGGTCGTTGGCGGTGCAACCCGCGCGGCCTGAACCAACGGCCTGATGATGATCGTTGGGACCGCCGGTTGGGTGAATGACGCTATCGTTGGTGTGCGCGTTTGTGGACCAACAGTATTTATTGAGATCCTCCAAAAGGATATTGCATGTTTGTTCCTTACTCTCGTCCTCCTGGCCCCAATAGTCGCACTCGGATTGGTCCATGGCAGTGGTCTCGCCAGTTTGAACGTTTCCATGTTGCGAACGCACCTGATGATGCACGTGATGATGTTGATGGTGATGGCCCAATGAACCGGTAATGGTTGAGACGGGCGGTAGTGCCGTCAGCGTATTATTGTTAGTCTCTTTGATAAAGGGCGAACTGCCGTGCGAGCCCTCGTGGTCATCGTGGCTCTGAAGATAACCGCCCATAGTGCGACAGCCACCGGCACCGCGATGCAGGAAACTCTCCTCATCGGAGACGACGCCATCGGCCGATGCGCAATGGGGCGGCGGCGACACTACGAAATCGAAGAAGTCTGTCTTCGGCAGATCCTCGCCGCCACCTCCTGGCGCGAAAGCCTCCGTCAGGTCCATGGAAATGATGTAGCGGCGCTCGTTGTCCTCGTTGTCGTTGGTACCCGTTCTAGTTGATGTCAATAATTTGTTGAAATTTGCTGGACGATGCCGTCGATTTAAAATCGGTATCCTCATCAAACGCAGCGCCCTCTATTCCGCCCCATTCGCCACCGCATTCTCGAGTTCCACAGACTACCTAAAAGAAAGAAACGGTTTTAACCATATAAGTAATAATAAGTATATGTAAAAACTATATATGTAATACTCCTATATTGCTAGCCTAGGACGAAAACTGGCGAAAACATTACAGTACAGACGATAGCTCTTTCGATCTCACAAATATCGGACGAGATGCATTGCATCGGCAATTTCTATCAACTCAGAGGTCACTTGTAGGTTATGTTGTAGTTGTGTCACGCTTGCGCAAACAATCAAAATCCGATATGCTATCTCTCTCCCTCTCTTGGTACCCGATCCACATATAAGCAAGATACGAAGCAAGCAATATAAAAGCAATGTATTACATACATTTTTAACACGGTTCTAATATGTGATTTGAACTACTTTGCTAGTTTTTAACCCTCTATTACCCTCGTATGAGGCAAACGTTCATATCAAAGCAAAGTTCATGAAATTTGAGATTTGTTTTTTATATTATAATTGATTAAATTTCAATTCAGTCTCAATTCCAATCCGTAGTATGATTTGCTTGTTGATGTGAAAAAACAACACCGCACTAATACAATGATACACGTACATACAAACGAGAGCATTAACATTTATTGTTTGCTGAACTAGGGCAATAAAAGGTTAATGTAAAGAGAGAGGCGTGGCTTTTAATATAAATATTTTATGCTAAAAAAATTAGTTACACACCATCGTCATAAATTCACGCACGCAAACAAATCAAAATTAGAGAAGAGACTAAGAGAAAATTTAATTTAGTATTCGTTCTTATAGAAGAATCTGACAAAGAACATAATAATGTTGTGCGATATCAGTGATATCGTAATGCAACATTATCCAATCTTTTTTTATTAAAAATCCGCTTTTTAAATAACTTTTTAAAACAATAACTTTAAATAATAATTTAAATAATATCAGTCTTCAATTTAAAATTTTTGTATGCGGTTAGTAGTATTGATAATATCAATCATAATGTTCTCCAATTTGCAATTTTAATCGAATGTTAGTACAATTCTATCGTTCTTTTTGAAACTTCAGCTTTTCAAACAATGATATCGTGTTCTCCAATCTAACAATAGAAACCTCAGCTATTTAGATTCTGTATAGAATTTAGTATCAATGAAATCGTAATGTTCCCAGTGCTCTGTTTAAAATCTCAGCTTTTTGAACGGTGCGAATGGTAGCTAACAATGACTGTGTTCAGCAGAAAAAGCAGCTCAATGAGCGCTCAGTGATTCTTTAATATGATTGGTTCTTTGCTGGATCTAACAATAAGTGTAAAAAGCAATCGTAATGAATCATTGAGCTCTCAATGAGCTACTTTTTCCACTGAACATAGCCAATGCACAATGGTACGAATTGCCAAATTCTATGTTTCTCGATTAGAAGCGAGGAGTCTGAGCCTTTTTTTTGGACGACGGCAATTAACGATTGATGGCGCAGTCCCGACGTTCCGCAACCGGTTGGCGAAATGACAGCCGGGCGCTCGGACATCCGGGAGCGTAGAGCGGCGCGCGCGGCGCGGCGCGGCGGCTGCGATCAATTGTTGCGCGCGGCTCGCGTTGTTGGCATTTAGCTGAGCGCGGCTCGCTGCCACACTGTATTAATTTGGTACAGTGCGTTGTGCCGCGCCGTTGCAGGATAAGCGAGCGCGGAAAAGAAGTTGCGCAAGCAAGCGAGCAAGCGTTACTCATACCACTCGGCTTCGTACACGCGCGCCGTCCTCTCCTCGCTCTCTCTTTCCCTCTTTCTCTCTGTCTCTTTCAATCTCTCCTCTCGTTTCGATCTCGCGAGCTGTGCTAGAGCGAATATAGTGTACGGCCACGGTGCGTTCCCACGCCATAGAGCATGCGAGAGAGTCCTGCTCTTCGAGCTGTGCGCCAAACGATCCCGCATTACCGATGTACCGAGGTAAACGATCGTGCGAGAAAACTCTGGAAAATCTAGGTCATCCTCTGGCGACGCCGTTGTGTTCGTTTATCGGTTAATGAGCAAACCGCGCAAGGAAAGCAACGCGTATTGCTGACAAACGACGACGATAGTGAGAACAGAGTAACAGGGAATACCACTCGAAAATATCCCGAAGAGTAGTTGATGCCGCGGTTAATTAAATTTGCAAACATTGCATTTAATGAATCAAGAATAATTCTGAGCTCAATAATAAAAATTACCGATAAGAATTTTTTACTCGACCTAACTGGCTATCTTTATTAATAATAATATAATTGTCACGACGTTTCGACCATTAGTTTTGGGCCTTTTTCAACCGATGTAACTTTGATGCTAATATATGTATATAAGCCTCCTCTTTAAAATCGCTGTAAAGATTTTTTGTGAAAAATATCACCTCAGCCAGGTTCCAGGATTTGAACTTGGACTTCCCTACATTCCGTGAGGGCGTCTAAACTAAATTCGACCGCTGAGGCATGTGATGATATTTACAATAACCGGTATTAATTAAGACGAATAAACAATATAATACCTAAGATCTTCATCTTTTAGGTCAACGGTGTATAATAAACGAAATCGGAAACCTTAACTTTGTTAAATGATTAAATGATGAGAAAAGTTTAAAGGTTCTGATTTAATAAAAATGACAACTATATTCTTACTTAATCTAAAAAGATTCTACTCACATTGTTCAAATCTTCTCAATGATTCAATGATTGTTTAAATTATAACCCACAGAAACCTTCAAGACAATTTAAGAACATTGTCGATGACTGAGAAATCCGGAGTCCGGGAAATGTAGGTTCCAAGAGCGACGAGAGGCTACAATGCAATTGTTCCCCGCAGCGATCTTTTTTTTCCCCTCTCGATTGCGCGTCTTGTGCAATGCGATCTAGTTTCGATCTCTCGCGCGAGATCGGCATACAGCAGGAAACCGGGAACGATCAGCGGGCAACTCGTCGCCCGAAGAAAATCGGATCGTGAAGTTCGATGATCTCGCAACTGTTCCAAAGAAAAAGGCGGAAAGGGAGGACTGAGGGGTGTGGGGTCAGATACACCCGATTGGGCCCTCGCGATCCACGCGCGAAAGATAGATCGAGCGGGCTAATGAGGCCCGGCCGATCACGACGATTTCGCCGATTCTGCGAATTCTTGATCGCCGACAACGCCCGGCAACGGGCCGCTTTCCTTCCTGGATCAACCAATTGTTCGTTCCTAATTTTTTTATTTACTTTCCTTTATCAGACAATCGAACGATTTTTCATGGTTTCACGCTGACATCACACCACGCAAAATAACTTTCATCTTACTCGAGAGTTTCAGAACCATTCAAATACAAATTGGAACAACGAAAATAGTATCATATAAAATTATATAAAGATACAATAATCGTTTAGAGTAAAAATGTGTTAAAGAAAACAGTGTAAAACATTGTATTATACCTATGGAAGTCTATCCAAAACCGTAAGGATAAAATAAATATATTCAAGATGTCCCATTTTAATCTTTCACGCAATTATCTCCCAAACTATTTGTTTTTCGAGAAAATATTTCAAAATAAAACTTACTCTGTTTTGAGAGAGACAGTGTCTGAAAATAGAATATTATTGTATAGAGATTATGTAACAACATACATAAGTTACATACTTAAGTGTTTACAAAAATTGGAGCACTATTGTAACAGCATATTCTTGAGACCAAATCAAGTCAAAAAGTACTACTTTTCCCTCCGATAAGCAATTATCGAGATATCGTAAGTTAAATATTGAAAAACTTACCGATTTTTTCTCAAATATCTCAAAAAGTATTAGGCAAATAAAAAAATGTTTCAACAAAAGTTGTTCAAAGTTCAAATTAATTAGTACCTACAATAAAAATAGGGGTTTTTATTTAAAAAAACAAAAATCACCTTGAAATCTTGGAGGCATCTCCACTTACAATCAGACAAGACCTGTGTCTATAATAAAATGTCCCCCTTACCCTGTACAAAATTTATCTAGATATCGAGATTTTGTTTTGATGCGGCCTATAAATTTTTATCAACCGCAGGCTCCAAGAGAAAATTCTTTTCGGTACAAGTTTCGAACAAATTAAGTCAAGTTTGCGAGGTTGTTCGTGTGTAACGAAATATATCCTGCTACTTCCCGGTAAAAGAGGCCAAGGATCTTCTCGTGCTGGGAACTCGAGACCATCGGTACCCGGGTTCAATCGATCGAATTTCGGACGCGAGAGAAAAAGAAAAGGTAGACGCGCGAGTCAATCTTCGAGTGAGCGGAGCGAGATAAAAAACGTGAAGGCACTTCGCTTCTTCTCATCATTACTTTTTCCCCTTCCCGATCGTCTTTTCATCCTTGGCGTACGCGCAATTCCTCGCGCTGTATAGCCAGAAATTGGTAAAAATTTTATGAGCGCCTTTATATACTGTAATAATACATCTGCGACCATGCACGTTTTACCGCTTCATTTGGCCGATATAATTTCTCAACATATATCACGTGTTTTCCTCTTTTTCTCTCTGCTTTCAGAATGACTCCCATATGCAAATTCTACAATCGCGGTTTCGCAAACTTGCGTCTTTCTCTCAAAATTTATAAGGGATCCAAAGAATTTAGAGGCGAACGACCGCCACGTTTGAGGACGACGTCGCGAAATGTCTCGAAATGGTGTCATAATTAACACTTTCAGGCATAATTTGGAATCACTAACTTTCAGAACACTGTAGGTAAATATAGAATTCCAAGAATTTTTGTTCTGTATACCGTGATGCGTGATATATGCACGACAGGCGTAATAAAAACATTTCGGTTTTCAAATTCAGAATTTTAATCGTGCGGCAAAGAATTTTAACTTGAAAAGTCTATGGTGAAAAACATAAAAGGAAGGCGCATTATCCTCCTTGCGAAACTTCTAATGAGAGGCTGCAAGTCCGGCGTTTATGTCGCCGCGCCGGAGCAAAACGCGAGTGAATATCGGTGAACTGGTTGCAAAACCGAGAAGACGGAGGCGAAGCGCGCGGGGCGCAGCAAAAATGTCGAAGAATGGAAACGCGGCGAGGAAGTC